ATATGGTAAAATGTTTATAATTTCGTTTGTCCGGATTTTGATATGTGCCTCCGTATTTGACCTCAGTTGAACTTTTATGAGTATGAATTGCCAATTTAAACGAATATCTTTTGTTTTGTTTGTTTTGTAGTATTATAAATGTATTATTATAGCCAATTTCACTTCTTTGCACTTCAACAGGGACAAACATATGTATATATAATTCAGACGCATAAATAAATAAGTTTATTTTATTATTATAAGAAGTTCTTTTTGCTGCACTCAAATCTAAACAAATTTATATAATCTCTTTAATTGGCAAAGTCATTTATAAATTTTATAAATTTATTAATTATTTAATTTTCAAGCATTTTAGCATTTCAATTCAATACCTCTCACGACGATAGTACTATCGATAGTATCGATGTTTTCAACTATCGTTTCGAAAACTATCGAGTGGCGGTACTATCGATAGTATCCCAGCTCTATTGTGCAGTGAAGTCTCAGCAGCAACTGATTTGATTTGCTTTGCCGAAGTGCTAGCAAAGCTTTAGTCAATCGTCAATTATCGTAAGACGCACGAATACGATCATATCATACATGTGTCGACGTCGCAGCAGCAATGTTGTCTTTTGTTGTAGAAAATGCCCTTTCATTAAAGCGCAAATGAACAAATTAAAAAAAATATAAGTTTCAAGATCTGAAAGTTTTTTAGCTGACGGTGGTAGAAGTAGCAGAAATGTAAAGTGTTATCTATTCCACAAATGTGGTTGAGTCCGAGCACTGGCTGTTGAGCAAAACTTCTCTGCTTCGCACACAAGCGCATGTGTGTGATAGTGTGAGTGCCCACCTCTGATGTATACACATAAATAATTCAAAGAAATTATGATACACAAGTATTGTATTTTATCGGATTTTATTTATATTCTCCTTCAACATAAGCACATGCATATATGCATGCACATTAGAGTGGTTCAATTTTTTTTTTTTTGGAAATACATAAACGCTACCTCGAATTATTGTTATTTGTGATAAAAATAAACGAAACGTGTTTTTTTATTTTGAAAAAAAAAGTCTTTTTAGAGGTCGCGATGGTCGGTTTTTTATAAAAACGCTGATATTCTCAAGTTTTTTATTTTCTTAACATGTTAAAATGCAGCTAAAAATGTGGTTTTTGCATATAATTACTCTGGTATATTGAGGAATATTCCCTTAACTGCATACCTTTCCTGGACAGTTAGAATGGGCCTAGTTCCCAAAAATATGCTCTTGAAAAGATACTCCTCAAGTTAAAACGTTGATACTGAACGATTTACGCATTGTCATGGGTTGGAAATTGTTACCAGGGGGTTTCTGGGGTTGCTAATTAGAAATATGAAGTCAGTTTTTCAAAATTTAAAATGGCGGATCCAAAATGGCTACTGGCAGTTTTTGAGTTCGCTGATTACGAATCTGAAGTTCTTTTTTTTAATCAAAATGGCGGATCCAATATGGCGATCAAATTAAAAAAAAAACAATTAGAAAATTAAAACGTTGATACTGAAGGTTTTAAGCATTGTCAAGGGTTGAAACTCGTCTCCAGTGGGTTTCTGGGGTTGTTGATTACGAATATGAAGTGAGATTTTTAAAATTGAATTTCTTGAGGATTCTTTAATTAAAAAAGATTCGGAATAAACGATGTTAATGAAGGGATATTCTGCCCAAATCCCAAATAAAACTTGTATTTTCTAACTGTAGTCCTAAAATTTCACGTCCATGTCTAGGGGTTTGTCGCCTAAAAGAGGAATCTTGCCATACAAACATTATGTCTAGACAGGTATTATGCATATCGGAATCCGCAATAAAATTTACAATTTCGACCTTGCCAAAAATATCTCATCCTAAGTTTTCGAAAACCAATTACACAAAATTTATGACTCACAAAACAAAACACCTCGTCACAAAAAAAAATTTAAAAGAGAATTAAACAAGGATTACTATGGTACGATCTCCCCAATTTACTGGTTTTCACTATGTAAATCAACTTCAAAAAGTTCAACAGTTTATAGCTAACGTAGCTTTAGGACAATCATAAGCATATTGTATATACAAATATTAAGCTCGTTTCTTTAGCTTTAAAACGACGTTAATATGAAGTCTCTACGAACGATTTGAAGAAGTGCATACATGATTAGTCAGAATCACGAAAAAATCCAAGCTTTGACAGATCATATCGTCACTACCTTGTAACGCAAACTATTGAATGCGAAAATGGATACTTTTCAGGAGAGCAAAAAAAAACTGTTGCAAAAAAAGTTGTTGTCATTAGGAAAAAGTGTGGGATTCGATACCTTGTATATTTATATTGAGAATATATTACGCTTTATTTTGGACCATATACTCTCAGTTGGGTTCAGCATTGGGGAATATGGACCCAAACGTAATACGGATGATTCTCCAGAGGAATGCTGTACAAGTGCTTCCTCAATTCGTGAGTGGCACGGCGCATTATCACAAACCAAAACCATGTCACCAAGGTTATTTCCTCCTTTTTCATTTTGCCAACAAATCCGCTCCAGTAAGCTGGACGTTTGGCCCTCTGGAAGCAGGGAGTTGTAGAGTGGCGCGGTGGCCAATTTTAAATTGGCTAGGTGACATTCGGAAAAACACATACAAATTTGTTTCATCCATCCATACTATTTGTTTACCATTATGAACGTATGCATTTAGTTTTCGTACATATTCGACTCGCTTTAATTTGTTATCCCGCGAGTTCATGGTTATTGGTTGCGTATGGACTGTTTTGCAACCGTACAAATTGCCCTCGAGATAGTTTGCCACTGCTCCTTTTCAAGTTTATAATGAGAAAATGTAAATTCCTATTGAGAAATCACAAATTCATAATGTGGTTCTTCACGCTTGCCTGGTTATCAGGTTATCAGCTTAAAAATAATTTTTCTGTAGTGTATTTTATTGTTGCACAGCAACAAAATACGCTACAGAAGAATTATATTTATCCAGATAACCTGATTATCAGGAACATCCACAATGAGAAATGTAAATTCATATTGAGAATATATAAATAAATAATGAGAAATATAAATTCATAATGGGAAAATACAAATTGAAATGAGAAAAAGGAAAATTCATAATGAGAAAATGTAAATTGATAATGAGAACATAGAAAATTATAACAATGAGGAGCGACAAGTACATTACTCTGGAGTCTGCAACCTAATGCCGCGATATTAGGTAATTTAAAGCAAACAGCAAAGGGCACTGCCAAAAAATTTATAATATGCAAGTATATTTACAACACGAAATTAAAGTTGGACAACGCATTTACACCCCCACTTGCATATCGACTAAGCGTAGAACATCTGTGTGGAATGTAGTTGTATGTTGTATTGCTCTTGCGCAGTCTCCTCCCGTTACACAGTTTTTTGCTTCATCCACTGCACTTTCGAGGTAATGCAATCTTTGCTCGCACTTGTAGTATACGTAGATGTGCCCTTACATTATGCTTTATTTTGGACCATATACTCTCAATGGGGTTGAGCATTAGGGAATATGGACCTAAACGTAATACGGATGCTTCTCCAGAGGAATGCTGTGCATGTGCTTTCTCAACTCATGAGTGGCACGGCTCATTATCACATACCGAAACCAAGTTGCAAAGGTTATTTCCTCCTTCTGTCTACTTTGCCAACAAATCCGCTATTAACTGCGAACTGCGAACTGTGAACGCCCCCTTCGCCTTTGTATGTGTAACACTCCAGCTGTGGTTATTGCACTAATAAGGTAGAAGTTTGGCCCTCTGGAAGCAGGGAGCTGTAGAAGGCGCGGTGGTAAATTTTTGATTGGCCACGTGACATTCGGCTAAACAAATTAAAATTTGTTTGATCCATCTATGCTATTTGTTTACCATTTTAAATATATGTGGCGGCTTATTCTATGAGTCCCATCTCCGTCAGGACAATAAATACATTAGTTTAATATCACTGGTTTACAGCAAAAATGTTCTCTGGATGGCACTATAAAATTCCTATGTAGAATTGCCCAGTGATCCCGAAAATCGAGTTATTAGTTTTTTATGGATACGCTTTCGAGATATTTGCAATCACGTATATCGTACGAACCAATTTAACAATCTTAATATGAAATAAGGCAAATGAAAGCTAATAAAATTCTCTATTAAACATATGTATATACATCACTTTGCGATAGGACTTATAGTTTCTGACATATTCATTAATCGTTTCAGTTTTTCTTATTTTTTTGTGAAAAAATTAAAAAAAACAAACTTTAACAGAAGAAAAATTTAAAAAATAACATGTTCTGTGCCAAATTTTTGCATTTGCGCTAAAGCCTGTTCGGTTACAAAAAAAATCAAGTTACTAATGAAAGAAATCGAGGGAGAAATAAATAAGTTATGAGTGATCAAATGAAAATACGCAAAGGTTTTTTGTATGAGAAAAATTAGCAGGAAAGAAAGTTACTCATACGCCACCTACACCCGAATAACATTGTTTTCTGCTTATATTTCATACAAAAAATCCTTGCGCATTTTCATTTGGTAGCTTCATTTTTTTTTGTTAAGGAACGGGCTTTTATTTAAAATTAAAACAAATATAACAAAACCGTAATTTTTTTAATTTTCCCATGTTAAAGTTTGAATTTTTTTAATTTTTTCACCAAAAAAACAAAAAATCTGGAATCATTAATTAATTTCTCCGAAAGTGTCAGACCTATCGAAAAGTGATCTATACGTGAATCATCGAGAATTTCATTACCTTTGATTTGCCGTATTTTGTGTTACGATTGTTTAATTAGTTCGTAAGATATACGTGATTAAGCGGAACCACTATTTTTTTTAAGCTGATTGACGGTAAATTGCAAATATCTCGAAAACGTATCCATAAAAAAAATTAACTCGATTTTCGGAATCACCGATCCACTCTACATAGGAATTGGATAGTAGCGTGTCGAGAACAAAAACAAAACTAAAATTTGTAATCCAGTGTATTTAGCCGATTATTTTATTTAGTTTAATTAAAATATGAATCAAATATATTAAGTGGACTTGAATTGCTTTTACATAACTATACTTAAATCAAATTTATTGAAGTGTTAATATCACACCGGCTAGCAACGACTAGGCGACCTTTTGCTTCGGCGACACACGGAAAACTTGGTTGTGAGTTGTTCGGTCATGGTTTTATTGGGATTGCGCGTTGTTCGGTCAGGGGTGTATTGCCGACCACTTCTGGTCCGGCACAGCAATCCCACATTCGGGCCTACTGACTCATCATTCGGCTCGAATGATGTCCTGCTGTATGTTTCCGCTAGTTTTTCCAACCGTTTCATATACTCTGCAACGGTTGATGTGTGTCCAGAGCCCTCATGCTCACCAACCTTCTGCACCTCGTATCTACCGTGAGATAAAACTTTCGTTACCTTGTACCGTACCATATTGAGTCCCCTTAATGCCGACTAACTCGTCTCCTCGGTACTTTGTTTCTTGTTTCCGTTTCTCATTAAAATTACGTAGATTTTCTTGTTGGGTCTTGTTAATATTCTCTTGCGCTTCTTTGCGCAGAGATTCTCTTTCCCTGTCTAATTCTTCGATCTCTGCCTCTTCCAAAAACTCTCCCAAATCTGGTACCTCACTCAGCCTCATTTCAATAACTGTCAACAACATAAAGGGTAAAACTTTCGTGCTTCTAGGTGGCGTATTATTAATCACTTGTTGCACTCTATCTAAGTGGGTTGGGGAGGGGGCGGTTTTGCGGGAAATTTTTCGCCTTATTCTAATTACCTTAAACGAGCAATTTGTGTATATGTATACGTATCCATAAGTTTCTCTAACGTAGCAAAATGAAAAATCGTTTAAAAAAGACTTTCGAAGTTGTATTTCTTCCAATTGTCAAAAACTTTTTATTTGTCACGGGGAAAATACCGTAAAAATTATTTGTATCGTGCGAATATCTATAGAAATTATCAGGGTTTGAAAAACTGTTAGCACAGCGACGACAGCCAAGGATTTGCTTTTTTATAAATTGTTATTGCTTTGCTTGCCGGCAATTACAAGTTCCTGATGAAGATCTTGCAGAAGCAATGAGCTAAGCCGACGACGCTTTAAAGGAATTTGAAGAAATGCGACAATATGCAGAAAAAACTTTCATTTGCTTTTCGAACACGTAGAAGAAGTATGCACCAACCTAGGTACAGAAATCAAAGTACCGCGATACAGCAGTCGCCAAAAGAATCGCTTTAATGTGAAAACCGGAGACGCCGAGGCATACTATCGCATTGCTTTTTACATTCCCTTCCTTGATACATATATTGCTCATTTGAAAAGCCGGTTCCTAAACCATAAATCAGTTTTAAATAACTTAAGTGTTTTGTTTCAAAAGTATGATTTTAACGAAAAAAAAACTGAAGAATTGTTTTCTTTCTATGAAAAAGTATTCGACTGCTCGAAACAAAACTTTCTTCTGGAGGTAAAAATGTGGAAAAAACGAGTTTCACACGAACATTTTCGAAATGCTCTCGAAGCATTACAAGTAGCTAATACAACGTCTTTTGGGAATGTTTTTAAGATCTTACGTATATTGGCACTTTTGCCCGTTTCAATAGCCACACCTGAACGAAGCTTTTCATGCCTGAAAAGAATTAAAACCTACTTGAGAAATACAACATGTCAAGAAAGACTCAACAGACTAGCATCTATGAATATTCACAAAGATATAAATGTTTCAGTTCACGAAAAATTTAATAACCGCCTTCACCCAAGGATCCATTAACTGTGCCTGACGCAGTCTGTGCTGTAGTGTATCCTCTAACATCAAACAACAAACTCTGGTAGTTAAAATCTTGTAAAAATAACGCCCAACGGGAAACTCTTAGTACAATATCATTTTTCTTCATCGCCATAGCCAAAACGTTACAATCTGTCACTATCTTGAAGCTTATGCCTAACAAATACACTCTCCACTTCTTCAAAGCTGCTACAATAGCAAGTACCTTCAACTCATATGAATGGTACTTTTCTGGCTTCGTCTTTCCGCTCATATACTGTACCGGGTGGAAAAGCTGATCGTCAGAGTCCTTTTGAAGAAGAACTCCTCTGTATCCGTGCTTAGATGCATCCGTATGAACTTCTGTCAACGCTTTTGGGTTGAACAGAGCAGAACAGGAGCTATCCCTAGTGCTTTTAGTTTCTGAAAAGCTGCTAACTGGTCTGCTTCAAGTAAAAACTGAGCGTCTTTTCGTAAAAGGTCTGAAACAGGTTTTGCGATAGTTGCATAACCTTGATGAAATGATAATGAAACGTCTAAAATAAGATGTCCACCCAAGGAAGCGCTGTACTACCTTTCGATCTCGCGGAATAGAGAAATTCTCCACCGCTCTAGTTTTTGCTACGGATGGTTTTATAGTTCCACTTTCTATAATATAACCCAAAAAGTCAACTTTCCTTTTTAGAAATGGATATTTACTCCATTTTATTCGCAAGTTATACTCGCCTGCTCGACCTAACACACGCTCTGAATGGTCTCACGTACATCCTTAGTGCGAATAATGAGATCATCCATGTAAGCACCAACCGTCCCATCTTTCACCATATCCCTCAAAACCGTAGCAATGTACTTCGAAAATACAGCAGGCGAGTTTGATATCCCAAAGGGTACATCATATGGAAACTCGTACAGCCCGTTATGTGTAACGAACGCGGTATACTTCCTGGATTTCACTTCGACAGGTACATGAAAGAACCCGTTTGCCAAATCCAATGTCGTAAATAATTTAGCCCCCAAACAACGGCATCGGAAATTTATCCCTCATAATCTTGCTGTTTATACGCCTATGGTCATAGCAAAGCCTTTTTGGCAACATCTTTTTTGGCAACAAGTACAATGAGCGAAGCGTACTCCGATCTACTGGGTTGAACCCTACCCTCTTGTAGCCACTCCTTCGTGAACGGGATAATCGTCAGTCAACACGATCTTCATTTCAACAGATGATTTCTGGTTTCTTACGGATGCATAATTTTTAATCAACACCTCTACTGCACTTGCTTCTAACGGTTGGAGGTGGCATAAGTCAATATCTGGTTCCCTAGCTTATTCAACCACGGCAACTTACCATAACTCTTTAAACTCTGCCTCAAGCTCCGTATACCTCCCTTCAGCTTCGTCCGAAACTAAGCAACTTACAGCCACGACTGCATTCGAACCTTTTTCTCCTGCCTGACTTGCCTCAGCCTTGTCAAATTTCGCCTTAAATTCTACCGAACCCTCACATTCTCTGGGCACATGAAAAATGACTTCAAGTTCCATACTGTCGACCACCAACATAATTTTTAAGCTACCTAGCGTCGTTAGTCTGGCATTTCCTACGCCTACCAGGCTTCTTTTGTCGTTGCTTAATTCGATGTCGTCATTTAACAACAATAAAACATTGCGACGAATTAAGCAAAGGTCACATCCGGTATCGATTAAAGCAGAAAATGTCGCTCCGCCGGCGGCTATATCCTTAAAAATGCACCCTCCTATTTCAAATTCCTGTTTCACTGGTTCCTCAACGTATTCACATTACTTTTTCCCTTCTTAACCTCAACTTGCTGCCGTGCTTCTACGGCACGGTGCTCTGGCTGACCGCATTTGAAACATTTAATTTGTTTTTGACTCCAATCTTTTGCGATGTGCGAAATATCTCCGCACTTGAAACAACGTTTTGTTTGATCTTTCTTGTTAGCTAAACCAGTAGACGCCTTTCTTCCTTCACCTGAACGTACTGAACCTGAGCTATTTACTTCTTGACTACCACTCCGCACTTTTTCATATATGCTAAGCTGGATCTTAAGTTCTTTAAAAGTTTTGGCCTGATATAAGTTACTCTTGTTGGCATTAGAATCAGGAATGCCCCAGATAAAATATGTTACTAAACTCAACTCATCTAATTCAATGGGTTTCCCAATCTCCAGATTGTAAAGGTATTCACGGTAACTCCCGTTTCGACGCTTTCGACGGTTCCTAAGCATGCGATGTACTTCAATGGATGACACCACAATACCAAACTCAGATTTTAGTGCCTGCTTTAATGAGCTCCAATTTCTAACACCACAATGGCTTCGCACAAACAGTTTGGCTGCTCCCCTCAACAACTATTTAGCATTAATAAATTTGTGTAAGTTATTCCAGTGAACTGCGGTAGAATTTTCTTCAAACTCTTCTAACCAATCCTCTATCGACGGTGAGCCGGAGCCATTAAACATCAACAACGAAGCCACTATGTCGCGCAGGGTGAACTCTGGATCAGACCAGAAGCAACATCATCATACTCAGAAACATCATCTTCATCACCGTCAGCAGTCAGGCCGAAATGCTCGAGCAGTCTGTCTTGCAATATCGACTTACGTCCTTTAGTCACTAACCTTAATTCAGTTAGTTTTTGTCTCAAATCACGCATATTCAAATCTAAAATTTTGCGTCGTTTCATGGTCTCTAGTCCTTCTTAGCGATTACAGAAAAAAATAAATACAAACTAACAGTGTCATAAAACAGAAAGCTAAGTAAGTAGGTACGCTTTCAAAATTTGTACACTTCAAATCCTTCAAAAATTGATGTGCTTTTGTTTACTCTTAAAACTAACAATGGTACCAAATGTTACTTTAATCTCCAATTGCTTGGATCTTTCGTATCGAATTATTTAACCTTTCTTCTTAACGACTTCAATGAACAAAATTTTTTTTTTTTTAAGAGTTTACTTTAAGCTAATTTAAGCACATGAGGCATTCTTCTTTAGGTCGGACGGATTTCGTAAAAAAATTATGCCATGTCTCCGATTCGCTTTTTTTGTGGGTTCTACACATGAAATAAGCTAACACGTGTTTGAGGAATTTTTTTCTTCTTTTTTTCTACCCGAGATATGATCTGTCAAAGTTTAAATTTTTTTCGTGATTCTGACTAATCATGTTTTTCTTCAAATCGTTATATCTCGGGTTCTGCTCATCGTAGAGACTTCATCTTAACGTAATTATAAAGCCAAGAAACGGGCTTAACGGGCTATTAACAGTTTTTGAAGTTGATTTGCATAGTGAAGACTTGTTTAATTCTCTATAATAAACGAGGTTAAAAAAATGGGCGTTTTTCAAGACCTATTTCTAAAATATTCTTCTTTATGACAAGATTTTTAGAAAACTTATGTTAAGATGTATTTGGTAAGGTGTTAAACATCGGGTTTTTGCAAAAAGGAAAATTTTATTACGGATTCGGATAAAATACTTATCCAGACATATTATATTTGTATGGCAAGATTTTTCATTAATGCGACAAACCCCTAGAAATGGGCGTGGAAATTGCAGGACTAAAATTAGCCAAACGCAGATTTTATTGCGGATTTCGCCAGAAAAACAATATTTGTTCCACAACTTTTTCAATCCATATAGATATTCTGGCGAAATCCATAATAAAGTATAAATTTTTGAACTTTGGTTTTAATATAGCCACGCCCATTTCTAGAATATTCTTTGATTGAAAAAGTTGTGGAACAAATGTTGTTAACGAAGCGATATTCTGCCGAAATCCGCAATAAAAGCTGCGTTTTTAGGGGTTTGTCGCCTTAAAGAAAAATCTTGCCGTCCAAATATTATACCTGGATAAGTATTCTATCGGAATCTGCAATTCTTGCAAAAACTCGATGTTTAACACCTTACTAAATATATCTCAACATAAGTTTTGGAAAACAAATTACAAAAAATTT